TTTTTAATATATGATATTAATTTTTTATTAAAAATATTTATGTGATAAATAAAATTTTAATGTCATATAATAAAAAATAAATCATTTATCTTAATTTATAATTTAAAAAATTATTTATTCCTCTATTAAAAAAAAAAACCTGTCTAAATGTGAACTTGGGAATTTTACCTTTTTAATGGACGTGAGTGAAAAGAAAAAACAAGGTGATCCTTTGGAATCCAGGAGATTGATGTAGGGTAAAGTGAGACTGGATTTAGTTGGGATTCTGTTTAGAATTAGGTTGAGTGATTTGTTTCGCACAATCGGTACAAAGTGACTTGTCACTTGTCCTTTCACCGAGAATAATTCATGTTTGAATTTTCAACATAATTTCCCTGCTCTTTCATAGAATATTAAAATTATTTATAATTTTATTTTTAAAAAAAATTAGGTACAGTGATTTAATCTGATTTTTTTGAATATGAGTGATTTAAGCTGTTTAAATTTTTTACTATTGCTTGATTTCATGCTCTAAATGTTAGCGATCAGAGACTATGATAGTAGACAGCATATATCACGTGGGAGCTTGTGCTTTCTACAAAGATTACAAAGATTGCTGCTTCGGCTGTACACCAAATTTCGCTGCATCATCCTTTCAAACTACTTAAGTATTCGTGGGGGAGGTGGCACGGCTAAAACGCACCACTCCTCCAATTCTCCCATAAATTAATCCCGCCAAAATATCCCTCCCTGTCCTTTCCCATTGCTCCAAAACGGCATTCTTCTCCAAAACTCTGCAGAGCCTCTTCAAGCACCAAGGCCACCTTTCTCCTCCGCCAAGAGCACTGTATGAGTAATGTCCCCGAGAGCAACATCTACTGTGGGGCAAAACCCCAGAGCCCCAATCAGAGATTTACTTCAATCAAAAATCTTAAAACCCCTGGAGAAATTTGACCTTTATAACTGCCAATTTTATGGATCAACTTTTGATCTCTTGCAAATCTTATAATATTATTATGGCTCTCAATAAAGTAAAAAATTAATTATTAAATATATAAAATTAATATTTTAAATAATATAATTTATATTATATTATTAATATTAAAATCTCGATTCATT